TATAAAAGTATTAATAATATACTATTATCATTTTATACAAACTTATTTTTATTTCCTATTAAATACAACATCTCTTTCTCGTATTAAAAAACTCGTTTATGAAAAGTTTTGTTTTGTATCTTTTGTATGTAAAATGTTTCTGTTTTGAGGTTTTCAATTTTGAAGCATCAAAAATTTTTAACAAATACAGTCAAAAGTCGTTAATTCGGACACCCATAATCCAGAATGATCTATAATCCGGACCTCAAAGCTACAAACTTTCGACGCATGCGCGTAAGACCTTTATGGCTGCGAATATTCGTGTGCGCGTGCACATAATACATTTACGCATGTGCGTTAATGTATGACGGATGGTATAAGCTAAGCTAAAATTATCTAATTCAGTTAATGTTGCAGATTGCGTTGTTCCTTAATCTTCGAATTGGATCCGGCTTATTATTTTTTGCAGACTGTTAAAGCAATTTTACAAAGTAAGCTTGAACTTTCGATTATGTCAAATAGAATTTCCGATATATATTTACTAATATGTAAAGGATCTACAAAGCGAAAGTATGTTTCGAAGTCCATTAAACAAAAAGTGGAATTGCTGCAAAAAATGGATAAAGGCATATCCTTCGTTTCTCTAACCATTCCGAAATCTGTTTATCAATTTCACGCAGCAGCACGCAATGAATTGGAAGTTGATCTGTTGGCACTATCCTTATCTTCAGGGCAGATAATTTTATTTTATTTGGCTTATAATTCCTTACTAAATGTAGTATTTCATCTCGATGTACTCCGTCTTTGATTTAAATCAAATTCCTTGTCATTATAATTTGCTTCCGATAGTGAAGAAAATGACACAGAGGTTATTGAAAACGAAAAAATTTTTAATGACAAATTAGTCGGTATTCTCGACACAGCAATTCTAAGACTTGAACAGCGGAACTTTTTAACTGAAGAAGAAATTATGTCTTTTTATAGAATTAAAGAGAAAGTATTATCACATAAAACGAAACAACTTAAACAACTTACATTGAAAGAAATGTTTAATAAAGTAAACAAATAAATATTAAACTTTTTTTTGTAAATTTTGATACCCTTTAGATCATAATTGTTCTTTATTTCATAAATTACGGTTTCATATTTTTAATTTCATAATTTCTGCTTGCCATCTTACCTGATTTAAACTGATGGTCTATAATCCGGAAAAATCGATAATCCGGAATCACCGAAGTTCTGACGAGTCTGGATTAACGACTTAATCCAGACTTAGATTTAGATTCCCATTACTTACTAACTGTAATGGAAATCTAAATCAGGTTATATCTGTAACTTTGTCCTTCATATGGAAAGAAAACAAGAGTTAAAAGAAACTTCAGGATTATATGTGGAACGAATTTTTAAATCTCTTCTTGAAGAACATTATGCTATTTATATATTGATAATTTTTTTGCATCTCTATCATTAGCAGATGAAATCTTTACACTCAGAACAAATACTTGTGAAACTGTAATGAGGATAAAGAACAGAATGTCTAAAAATTTTCTGCCATCCAAAATGAAAATTGATGAGGTATTGGTTTTGCAGAAAAAGAACTAAACTTCACTGCTTTCAAAGATAGACAGAAAGTGCTTTATTCAAATGAAAGTTTTAAGAAATGTAACACTGATGCTTTGTTTGCTCACACTCTCACAAAAATCATCCAAAAAGGCAAATGAACTACAGTCAAAAGTCGTTAATCCGGACTCGTCGGGACTTCGGCGATTCCGGATTATCAGTTTAAATCTGGTAACATGGCATGCAGAAATTATGAAATTAAAAATATGAAAATGTAATTTATGAAATAAAGGACAATTATGATCTAAAGGGTATCAAAATTTACAAAAAAAAAAAAGCTTAATATTTATTTGTTTACTTTATTAAACATTTCTTTCAATGTAAGTTGTTTAAGTTGTTTCGTTTTATGTGATAATACTTTCTCTTTAATTCTATAAACAGACATAATTTCTTGTTCAGTTACAAAGTTCCGCTGTTCAAGTACTATAATTGCTGTGTCGAGAATACCAACTAATTTGTCAATCGAAATTTTTTTGTTTTCAATAACCTTTGTGTCACTTTCTTCACTATCGGAAGTGAATTATAATGACGAGGAATTTGATTTAAATCATATCAAAGACATAGTACATTGAGATGAAATACTACATTTAGTAAGGAATTATAAGCCAAATAAAATAAAAACATCTACCCTGAAGATAAGGATAGTGCTGACAGATCAACTTCTAATTCATCCCCCCCCCTCCCGCCGCAGAGCAGAGTGAAATTGATAAACAGATTTCGGAATGGTTAGAAAAACAAAGGATATGTCTTTATCCATTTTTTGAAGCAATTTCACTTTTTGTTTAATGGACTTCAAAACATACTTTCGCTTTGTAGATCCTTTACATATTAGTAAATATATATCGGAAATTCTATTTGACATAGTCGAAAGTTCAAGCTTACTTTTATAAAATTGCTCTAACAATTTGCAAAAAATAATAAGCCGGATCCAATTCGAAGATTAAGAAACAACGCAATCTGCAACATTAACTGAATTAGATAATTTTAGCTTAGCTTATACCATCCATTATACATTAAACGCGCTTGCGTAAACACGACGCATCAGCAGAAAGTTTGTAGCTTTGAGGTCCGGATTATGGGTGTCCGAATTAACGACTTTTGACTGTATTGTGAGTGGAAAGATTGTAACATACGACTGTGTGTAGATACTTATATTGAAGTTTATCACACTAAAAGGATTTTTAAGTAACATGTTTATTTGTCAGATGTTGAAAGTCACTAATGGATAAGTAAATACTAGGAAAAAAAATGTACAAAATAAAAATATTAAAAAAAAACTAAAGCATATAAAGTATGTAATTAATACAGGGTGTTTCATGAAGGATCCCTAACTTAAATAACTAAAATAAATAACTCGGAAACAATGATATATAAAAGCATGAATCAAATGGTATGTTTATTAAAAAGAAAAGAGTAATACAAATTTTCTGATAATTACAAAGTTAAAAATTGTGCTGATAGATGACGATGTGGGTGGCATTAACATAAATAGGCTGTGCATAGCGGCTAATACAAACTCTCTTGGCATTCACATCAAAAGTGATTCAAAATATGAACCTTTCACACAGTACACATGTCGCAAATGAAGAATGAAATTCTCAGTCACTTTGTAGTGTATCACCAAAAATAGACACATAAGCTTGACAAATAGCCTCCTCCAGCTCATCGAGTGTTAAAAGATTGTTATGGTAAACTATGTCCTTTAGTGTGCCCCACAGAAAGTGGTTGCACGGGATGAGTTTAGGTGAATAAGACCAGTTGATTCCTTTCCTCTTAATTGTCGAATAGTTTGATGCAATAACTCTGTCCTCGAAGTATTTGTCCAAAAAGTCAAAAACATGTTGTGTACAGTATAGGTGAGCCGCATCTTTCATGAACCACACTATGTCTGGTTGATTATCGAGCACTTGTTAAGTTGCAACAAATTGTTTCAAAAGCGCAATATATCGGTTAGTTGTCAACGTTTCTCGCAAAGAAAAGGGCCCAAGGAAGCCTTTGCAGGTCGTTACTCCTGAAAATGCAACTTGACTTGCTGTAGTTATTGAACATTATCCGAATAAATCTGTCTGCAGACTTGCAGCTGAATCCAGCACTTACAGAATCCTGAGGAAGATGTTACACATGTTTCCATACAAGATTCAATGCTGGTGTGCTATACCAGTTTAAGCTGAACGACAAAGAGAGGATTTTGCTAACAAGATGCTCGACATGACTGATGTTTCTGGTTTAGATGTCGGCTGAATATGGCGTACAGACGAGGTCCATTTTCATCTGGATTGTGTCGTTAACAGACACAACTTGCGATTTTGGGGTACCGAAAATTCACATTTGTCACATGCACGACCACTCCATTGCCCGAAACTTACCGTTTGGACTGCATTCTTTTGCAAAGGCATCATTGAGCCCTTTTTCTTGTGAGAAACAGTGAAGACTGACCGATATATTGCGCTTTTGAAACAATTTGTTGCAACCCGAAAAGCGCTCTATGATCAACCAGACACTGCATGGTTCATGCAACTTGCTGCTCACACATACCGTAGTCAACATGTTTTTGACTTTCTGGATGAATATGTCTATGCTAGAGTTATTCACCTGACCTCACCCCTTGTGATCACTTTCTGTGGGGCACACCGAAGGACATTATTTGGCGCAACAGTCTTTTAGCACTTGATGAGCTGGAGGAAGCTATTTGTCAAGCTTGTGTGTCAATTTCCGGTGATACACTACAGAGAGTGACTGAGAATTTCATTCTTTGTTTCAGACATGTATGTCATGTTAAAGGTTCACATATCGAATCTCTTGATGTGAATGCAACAACAGTTTGCACTAGCCACTATGAAAGCCTACTTATGTTAATGCCACCCGCAGCACCATCTATCAGCACAATTCATAATTTTTTTTAGGTTACTGTATCAGATTCGTGTGGTTTTTTTTAATAAACATACCACTTGTCTCATGCTTTTGTCTATCATCGTTGCCAAGTTATTTATTTTCAAAGCATATACCACATATATACTCTACAGAACATTATTAAACAATGTGTTTATTTTTCTGTAATTTTGTAGATTTAGGTTTAGTAGTGTAAAACCCTCTAGCTCTATAGAGGCACTCGGGGGGAAAAAACAACCAGCCCAAGCAGTATTTTGTTGTGAAAGAGTTAATACACAAGTAGCAATATTGTTTGTATTGCATAGTATGCAGTATTTCTGTAACCTAAACTTAAGTTTTAACCTCTCCTTTTTTTTCCCCACATTTATATTTTCCGTTTTTATTATTATTATTATTATTATTATTATTATTTGGATTGAAGCTTTTCATTGATTGTGGATATTCATCTTTTGTTTCAAAAAGTTATTTTCAAGAAAAAATTATTATTCATTATAATTTTTAATTATATATAGGAATTGAGAAGGAAAGAAGCTGAACTTCAAGCAAAAGAAGAAGCTTTGAGAGCTGGAACTTTTGACGGTACAGTTTTTCCATTATAAAAAATTTTCCTTTGCTTTGCATACATTTTTTAAGGTATGGTATGTATATGTATTGACTGTTGCAGTGCAAAGGACCATTTTAAAAACAGTATTTTGTCTGTATGTCACTTTTACCTTTTTTCTGTATATTAGCTGTACCACGTAAATTTGCCACTAAGCTAACGGATAGCAGCCTCTAGAGACAGTTCTGCAAGCCACCAGTGCCAGCATCAAAATCAGTCTCCTGCCATCTTATACCATGAATGCCCTAAAAAAAAGGTAGTTGAAGTGGAACAATGAATCAGAGAACAGGGTACCTTTGAAAACAAACAAAAATGATGACAGTTACATAATTGCTCAGTGTGAATTTCAAAGGCATTATGAAGTTGATTGCAGTCATGCTGTTTTCTCACCATCATGTCATCAAGACAAGAATTTGAAACCTTGAGGCTTCAGAAATATGCTCAGGAAAAAAGATTGCAGTGCAAAAACAGCATATACGCTGAGAATAATGCAAAGGTGAGAGTTGTGTTTGAGTGAAGCCCGCAACGATTTGCTCAGTGCCATTCTGTATCATTCAGACCCTCATACTGCAAAATTTTGCACAATGATCTGAAGTTTCATCCATATAAATTTAAATCACCAATGCAATAGGTGAACATGGTTATAACAATGGGATTAATTTCTGTGAAACTAATGCTGTCATTAATTAATTAAAAAAAAGAATTTATGGATAATTTACCGATGAGTGATGAGGCTCACTTGCCTTTTACAGGATTTGTGAATGAGCAAAATTTCCGATACTGGTCTTCTAATATCACTAGAACTTCATCAATAGCCATGGCACAGGGCCAGAGTAGTGAGATTGTGGTGTGCAATCTCTTCTCTTGGAGTTATTGAGCTATATTTTTTATGATGAGAATGAAATGGTTGTCACTGTTATGGGACTACTTTATTTTCACATGTTAGAAAACGGACTTGTGCCTCCAATCATCAACAAAATATTTTTCCTTCAAGATGGAGCTACAAGCTGCATCACATGTGCTTCCACAGCAGTTTTGAAGAACCTGTTTCCAAACCGTGTTATCTCTAGACTTTGGGAACATCCGTTGGCCTGCCAGATCACCCGATCTCTTTTTGTGTGACGTTTTTTCTTTAGTGATATATGAAATCCCAATATCTTCAAAGCTCACAATGCTTCAGAACTGAAATGTCATATTCAGAAAGAAGTTGTGGCAAAAAGTAAAACCGCTATCACATCTACTATTCCTTCCCAGGACACTGCTTCAAAAGAGACATTTTTCAGAAACTCCATTTCCACGAAACCTTCATGGCTGGATTACCATCTTGACTTAGTAAACAAGCCAAACAGTAATCGATTATTGCTCAGATTGGCGAAAAAGAAATTTGTTTTCAAATTGCGTGTTCTATCCCTCGCTCTCTTTTCATTTTAAACTTGTTTGTTAACTGTAGAAAATAATAGAAAGGTGATGGAAAGCATTTAAAAAAAAATTACAATATTGTATATGGCAGATGTTATTTACATGCTCACAGCCAGCAGATACTATTCAGCAAAATGAAGACTAAATAAAGCATATAAATGTATGGGTACTCAAGCATGTATGAGTTAGTTACCGTCCCATATAACACTCGATAATATACCCAAAACGCATTGATTTTACCGAATCTTGAAATCAGGAAATGCACATAATGAGAAAACATCATGTAATCCCTTAAGTAAACACACGTTAAAGTGATATTCAGTTGTGTACTGTATATTTTAAGTTATATATTTTATAAATGTATAGCTGTTAATGTTCCTGTTATTCATAAGTCATGCTTTTAAACTGTGTAAATCATGCATAGAATATAATTATCTATTATCCCCAAAACAAAAATTGTGCATTCATTAATGTCCATGCTTCATTTTTATATTCACATATAATTAATGCATATGCATTATTATTATTCATTAATGCATGCTCACCAGTTATTTATTAATGCCCATGCTTACCAGTTATTTTTCAAATGTGTATTCCATAACCAGGATAATATGCAAATGAGTACAGGTGCTATCAATTACAGGATCATTATATGAATTAGAAGTGACTTCAAATAAACTTTTTGGCAATATTCATTTTTATATTCACATATAATTAATGCATGCTCACCAGTTATTTATTAATGTCCATGCTCACCATTTATTTTTCGAATGTGTATTCCCTAACCAAGATAATATACAACTGAGTACAGGTGCTGTCAATTACATGATCATTATATGAATTAGAAATGACTTCAAATAAACTTTTTGGCAATATTGATTTTTATATTCACATATACATATACACTTCTAATAATCGTCAGCTTATGCTGATGATTATTAGAAGTAGACTAATAACGATTTTGTTTTATTGGCCACGGGAAGTGGTCGCCATACTATTGATAAAGCTTTTAAGTTCGTCTCTCAAGAATTGGAGAAGTGGTCTTTCCATATTAAACTTAAATTTGGTCCAAAGAAGAGCTTTCTTTTGGGTATTGCCAAAACTAATACTATATCAATACATCTTAGGTGCAAACTGTATGGATAACCAATTAAGAGTTTCTAAGACAACCAAATACTTGGGCATTACGATTGATGAAAAGCTCACTTTTATACCTCACCTAGATCAAATAAAGATCTGATGCACCCATATTCTTAATAGACTTAATAAAATAAATCTCCAAGGTAATGTTCTTAAGAGTTTATATAAAAGAGCTATTGAGAGAAGGATCTTGTATGCATGTGGTGCATGGTGGATTGGAACAATCCGAATACATAAAAAAATTTTGCAAATTCAAAGAATCGCTTTATTGGGGATTACAGTTTTAGAACTATTTCCACAGTAGCTCTTCAGATTTTGGCTGGATGTCCTCCAATCGATATTTTAGCGGAAAAAGAATATGCTATCTTAAAATTATTAAGCTGGTAATAAAACTTTCGATTGTTTCAATGAGATCTTCTGAGCTAGAGATTTTGATTGAGAAAGGTTTAGACATTCATCCAGCTTTGTTGAAATTGTTGAATTGGCATAAAGGCCTCCCCAATATGACAGGCTACGCAGTTTTTACAGATGGATGTAAATTAAATGGTCATGTGGGGGCAGCCTTTTGTGTGTTCTTAGATGAGAAACTAATCTTACAAAGGAAATGTAGACTTTCTGTCAATGCCTCTGTCTATCAGGCAGAGTTAGTGTCCCTGAGAGAGGCTTTGTATTGGCTTATTTCTAATTCTGCGATAGATCCTGTAGAAATCTATAGTGACTGTGAAAGCACAATTGTTTCAATTATGTATGTTTTGTCCAAATAATGATTTAATTAAACAGATGAAAGACATGCTCATTTTTCTTAGCACTTTTAGAGATATTAAACTCTTTTGGACGAAGAGTCAAATTGGTACTATTGGTAATGAGTTAGCAGATAAATTGGCAAAGGCTGCCACTGAAAATCAAATTATTGATTTTGAAGTAAAGATTTCCTTTGACAGTTTGAAATCCTTGTTGAAAAGAAAAAGTTTGACTCTATGGCAAGCAAAGTGGAACGACCCAGCTTCTTAAGGAAGATTCGCATATAATTTAATCTTAACTGTAAGTGAGAGAAGATGCCTAAGTGACAAGTATCTAAACCAAGCTTTAACTAATCATGGACACTTTCCCTTTTATTATAATAGGTTTTCAATTAAAAATTGTGCCTATCCATGTGGCATGAGTAAGGTCGATATTGAGCACCTGTTGTTTAGATGCTCTTCTATGAAAAATATTGTTCTAATATTTATTCCAAATATTGCTAAATTTAATACTCTAAAGGATCTAAGTAAAAATTCTGTGACTAAATTGAAATTGTCAAATTTCATAAAATATGTATCTGTAAATGAAATGAATTTATATATTGATTGTGTTTAAAATTTTCCTATCTGTTTTAAAGAAAACTAGGATATTTATGATATTCTGTTGTTTTATTTCTTTGTATATGTAAGTAACATATTTTTATGCATGTAAGTAACGTGTTATATTTTACAAAGTATGTAATAATGTGCTTTTGTTGGTGTAGCTGGTAAATCTCACCAGGTCCTAGACTTTAAGTTCATATTTTAGTTGTTTATTCTATTTAAAGTTATTTCAGGTAATATGGTAGTAGTTCTACTGCTTAATGGGCCTGATTTAGGCCTTGTTTTAGATCTCAATGTTTCTTTAGTTAAATAGCTCCACTAAGCCCTGTTAAGCCTCTAATGGCGGTACAGGAAATTCGACCGACTTCTAATAAGTCATATATTTGCATATACATAGAGAAATGTGATGGTTTAGAAATTGTTAATGAAAGTTTATTAGTATTAATATAATGAATAAGATTTATATTAATGAATGTGTATATAAATGTTTTTCGCCTTGCATAGGAAAATATCCTAAATTTCAAATATTTCAATATGTAGCATTTTCAATAAAAGTATAGATTATAATGTATTTATAATCTAAAAGTCATTTCTTTAATAACATAAAAATTAGAGCATACAAATTTAATGAGTATTGTCACTATAACATAAGCTGTGCTTTCCTTTTTATGCACCTTTTATGTTATTTATAGTATGTCGCTGATTATGCAGTAAAAATTTAAATGATAAATAATTAGTAAAATCGTGTATATAAACAGATTTTTTTTTAAGTTCTATTACTATATAGCAATGATAATATTTCAGCATGGTGCACTATACGTCTGACAAATTTGGTGAACTTTTGACGATGAAAAATGTGTAAACAAATCATCCAGGGCTGTGGAGTCGGGCAGATTTTGGTGTAAAAGGAGTCAGAGCTGGAGTCGCTAAAAACAGGTCGACTCCGACTCATGTTTTTGTTGGAAAGTTTGAATTTGAAATGAAATTTAAATTAACTGAAAAAAAATGATAAGCTGAGTTATTATTTTTATTTATGAACTATATACATTAATAAATAGTTATTTTCTATTTTATTGACATATTAATAAATAAATATAAGGGAGGAGGATGG